AGTAAATAAAGGGTTCAGTTCGGAATTCCCTGTAGTTTACCCTTATCAATATCCACCCGAGGAAGGCCGGAGGTTACAACGGGCAAAACGTTGGGATAACAACAAAGATTGGGACAATAGCCCGTATTTAACTAGTGTAAATAATTAATAACTCATCGTCCCATAGATTAAGACAGAAATTATAGGGTGAAACGCTGCAGATGCCGGACCGTTAAACTTTAAATTTTAAATTTCTGCTTTTCGATGTGTCTGTAGGCAAAGTCTAGCCGACTTCATTCAGGTTCTTGCCATTTTGTTATTTTGCATACATCTATAGATTTGGAAAATATGGAATACCTAAATAGCCTATTTATTCTGAATTTACTCGTTTTTAGTTTTTATTCTATTCTGTTTTACTTTATGTAGTTTTTGCCGTCGCAAGTTTCTTTTAATTTGTTTCTAAAACTGTTTTTGTTTGTCTTTACTTTAAGATTTCGATTCTCTTACTTTTTTTCCTTCTATGAAGGTCGATCAGTAAATCTTACACTTTTCTTAACTGAATATTGGCCAGGAATTTTCACTGTATAATGTCAATTCGATGTAATCAATATTCACGGCTTAACTAAGTGCAGTAACAAAGAATTGATTGTTTGATTTGATTTTTACAGTTTATCAACCCTTCGTGGGTCATTTGCAGCAGAAACATATTTAGCAGTGTATTTTTTTCGTAAATGAATACTGCATTAAGAGCTATTTTTTGTTTTAAAATAACAATGATTTTTCATGATACATCCAACTATTTAATCCATAGATGGACAGATGAGACGGATCTTTCCCAGGTGCATTTGCGCGTGATTGGATGTAAAGAACCCGAACGGAATTGGAACTTGTCTCTCCGATTTTTCGTTACTAGTCGCTATCTGTCACCACAGCGACAAAGAGAGATGTATTGAAAAATCTCTGTGTAATAATAAATGTATGTTTCAGCATTAGGCTAGCGACTTATATATCTACATGTGTATATGTAATTTTTAATGACTTTTTCAATTTATTTTTGCCTGTTGTTTTAGAATGTTTTAAAGCGAAAAGACAAACCTTTACACCAACGGCACCCTTATTACGACGACTAAGCGAGAATTGTCGCATAAATAGCTTTAACATAAAGAATTTACCATCTTTTTGAAGATCATTAAATTCTCTTAAAACCTGGAAATATTAAAAACCGAAAGAAGATGGACTCATTTTTCGCCAAATCGTTTTTTTTAATAGCTTTAATTTAAAACTAGATAGTAGTGTAATATTTGCAGGATATTAAATTATGTATTAAGAAGAAACGAATATAATTTGAAGACGTCTTCAAATTGTACAACCACCGATGTCATTTGAAGTGAATTTTGTAAAATTTAGGAATCTCTTTGTTTTATATTGTCGACTTCTGCAAAAAACACACACATGTATATCCATGGGTATGTAGAAGATAGATAGATAGATACATAGATAGATAGATAGATAGATAGAGAGAGAGAGAGAGAGAGAGAGAGAGAGTATTTACGGGATTATGGTTTTGTGTATTTGTGCGTACGATTTTGTCTGTGTTTGATATGAAAACTTTCCGACCAAAGATTAAATCCGGCAAATAGTTTTCTGTTAAATATTTCTCATTTTCAATTCATTGTCGAAGATTATAAAACCCCACACACGAGCAATCAGTCTCATTTAAACGTAAAAGTGTAAACTGCGGATGACTGGTTCTTGTAACCGAGTTTGAAACCTACAAGGATTTTCTCGAAAAGTGAAAAAAATGTGATATATATATCTAAGTGTTGACTTCTATGTTCACTTTTATATTTACACATGCTCTATCTCTGATATTGAGCACTTTATCCCATAAGTATAGCACACCTTAAGACTATATTTCTTTATATATATATATATATATATATATATATATATATATATATATATATTAGTTAAACCTTGAGAGAAACAAACCTACCAAGGTTTCACCTAAGCGGATTGTCAGGGATCCGCTTAGGTGAAACCTTAGTAGGTTTGTTTGGCTCTCTAGTTTTAACTAGGTCTGCTCTACTTACTGTATCGAGCACTTTATTTAGTTATTTTGCCTACTCCTATCGTTTTTTTTTCTTTGATTTGCATGTTAGACGATTATTTTCGGCTAACGTACATCTTCTTGGTTCTTTCATTTTTTTTATACCTTTTTGGTACTGGTTTGATTATTCGCAAATCAAGACACTGAAGGTTTTCCGAACGAGTATAATTTCTTATACTTATAAGATTACTACTACACACACACACACACACACACACACACACACACACACACACACACACATATACACACACATATATATATATGTATATGATAAAATTAAAGGGTAAATTGGAAATTTACTGTAGCTCTCTCCAAACTATATAACTATTGCCTCACTGACTTTTTCTTTCCAGCCTGTTGGAAGTCCCCATCCATTGTTTCTGTCTTTAAGAACTCTAGTGACCCTTCTGACCCTTCTAATTACCATCCTATCTGTCTCCTACCACTCTTCGGCAAAGTCTTTGAAGCTTTAATCAACGCCGAAGTGGTTAAGTACCTTACCTCCCATGATCTACTATCTGACAAACAATATGGTTTCCGCTTTGCCCGGGCCACCACCGCTGACATGCTTACGGCCATAACTGAATTTGTATACCAAGCTTTTGGCTCTAGATATCCCTAAGGCGTTTGGTATGATTTGGCAGCCGGCTTTCTTCGTAAGCTTCAGGGATACAGTATTACAGGACGATTATTTGATTTAATCTAACCATTCCTGTCAAACCGTGAAATGAAGGTCGTAAATGCATAGCATGGACTGCTTGTAACAAAATGGATAAGATCTGGAAATCCAATCTTGCTCTTAAATTCAAAATCCAACTTTTCCGCGTACTTATTGAACCAATCTTACTCTATGGCTCTGAAACTTGGACTCTCTCAGCAAAACAACAGCGTCGTTTAGATGGATGTTATACACGTCTTTTAAGAAGAGTGCTTAATCTCTCATGGCGAAACCGCCCAACTCTAGAAATGATATATGGTGACTTGCCAAGAGTATCAACTTTAGTTTGTAAGAGACGTGTCCAGTTCGCCGGGCATTGTGCACGTGCCACAGATGAACTTGTGTCATCATTTGTACTCTGGAGGCACCCATCATCTGTCAATCGATCACGCAAGTTAACCTTTCCAGATAGGATAAAACGTGACACATTGATCCCTAAGGAAGATCTTTTAGGAGATATGACGGATAGGGAATACTGGAGAGGTGTAGTGAGTTCAATCTCGGCTGAGGCCGCAGGATGATGATGATGAAACGGGTTCTCCTCCAGTTCATCTCATATAAACGCTGTTGTTCCCAAGGCTATATACTGGGCTCTGCACTGTATCTGATCTTCATCAACAATCTTCGTGATGTCATCACTTTTCAAGAAGGCGTTGCCATTTACTCCTGTCAATAGTAAATCCGGTATTTTTGACAAAGTTAACCTGGCCGTTGATCTCGAAAAGGACCTCCAATCTGTGGATGACAAAGGCAGGAAATGGCTTGTAAACTTAAATGCCTCTAAAACAAAACTGCTCTCATTTACCTACCATAGAGTAAACTCCCTGCCTCCTAACAGCATGTTTGATGCTCCACTCCACGAGAGCGTCTCTCTGCGCCTCCCAGGTCTCACGTTTTCCGCTGAACTGAGGTGGAACAACTACATTGAATCAATAGCTGCATCTACGGCAAGGAAAGTTGGTTCTCTGTGTTGTGCCAGAAGTTTTCTCGTCTGAGTCCATCCTTCAAATATACACATCTACCATTCATCCTTGCCTTGAATACTGTTGCCATATATTTCCTGGTGATCCCGTTGTTCATCTTGAGATCCTCGACAAAATCCAAAGACGGCTATACAATGTGATAACTCCTGACCTGGCATCTTGACTACAGTCACTTTCTCACAGACGTGATGTGGCTTCCCTCTGACTTTTATACAAATATTTTCATGGCAACTGATCTGACGAAGTACTTTCACTGGTACCGCAAATGCATGAATTTAGGCGTGCTAATAAATTAACGTCTCTGTCCCACCATTTCACTGTCGAAACTATTAAATGTAACCACCTCTTCTACTCCAGCAGCTTCTTCTCTCGCCCTTCCCGATAGTGGAAGTCACTTTTTCTTGCTTCCCAGATAGCTATAATCTTCAAATATTTCTGATGCCTTGATCTTGATCCCCGTCCTTCTCTTTATCCTTTCCTCAAACCCCCCACTTTAATCCTACTTATACTCACTGTGATCCCAATGTAAAGTGCTAGTGGCACTCTCGCTTACTTGGGGTGAAATGCTTAAGAACACCGGATTATATATCTTACTGTTCTTTCTTTTTACTTATATACATATATATATACTCGCGTCTATGTCGTCTCCATGTTTAGTGCGACCTTTGATTTTTTTGGCATGAATTTTAAACCTAGAAAAAAATTACCCGTGTATAGTGCGATCGGTCTCCGAAAATGCATGATTTTAATCTCTTCAAAAATTACCAGTGTATAGCACAACCCCCTATTTTGTGCGTAAATACTGATCATAAAAACTAGGACTACGCTATATATATATATACAGAGAGAGAGAGAGAGAGAGAGAGAGAGAAGGAGATAGAGAGAGAGAGAAGAATCGGTTCACTTATACACGAGCACACATAGCAAGCTCATTTATTGATTGATTCGTTTCCTATGGCTTTGCGGGTTATTTGAAGTCATAAAATATTTTGGGGATTGTAAGAATGTTTCCTTTAGGAGATAATGATGGTTTAGTGATAGATGTCTTACTAATTAACCCATAGCTGGGTGGGAGAAAGTGTGCTTTCATACTTTTCGCAAGGGTATTTGCACATAAGGGAATATAACGAACCCAGCTGGAATTGGAACTCGGCTCTCCGATTAACAATTCCGAGCCATTTTCCATTAAACCATCCATACATCTAAGCTTACAGCACTTGGTATTCGCCTGAGGCCACCAGTCTAGATACTAACCAGGCTCAATGTTGCTTAACTTCGGTGATCCTACGTGTACCGGTGTTTCAACGTGATGTGGCCGTAAGCCTGCGGAATGGTTAGATTTATGGTATAGAACAGGGCAAGTGTAGCGGAAAGCTTGACTTAAGGAATCGAAATTGATTATTAATTTGGAGGTAACTGACTATCACTGGATACAAGTCTGTATTAACCCACTACACTAGCCAAATTTGATAAAAATGAAGTGAAAAATGAGTCCCTCAGGTATATACAAAATTATCTGAAAAATCCCTTGAGATTAAATTGTTTACATAAAACAAAGACATCAGAAAAATGTTTATTAGCCAGAAAGATTTTATAGAAACAGTTTTCGGAAAAAAATCCAACAATCCAACCAGTGCATCAGTGCGTGGATTGTTTACATCAGGGGTCGGCAATCTTTTCAAGAGAGCAGGCCAGAAAGCGAGACATTTTCTTGAGGGAAAGCCATGATATCGAATGTGCTATTGGGTGGTCCGAAAGTCTTGTCGCCCCTACATCATATAATTTTCTATTTCAGATGACTGACACGAGCTCCTACAGTTTGGAAGAGAGACTGCTTGCAAGTGTATGGATATATGATCATGTGCACAGTGGCAAAGGTAAGGAGAAAATTTCACATGAACGATACCAGAATACCCTTCAATTGAAGGACGCCGTTCGTAGAGCCTTTCCAAGAATCAACAGAGCACAGCTTCGTAAAATATTACGCAGGACATGGTGCTGCATCATTTTGTGACAGGAAAATGGTGTTCATACAGACCTTCTCGATATGTGACAGGGTCAATGAAAGTCAGTAAATTAAATCCAGTAGATGTGATTTGCATTACTGTATTACTTGTTGTTCTATTGTACTCATTACTTTTTGCTATGGGGTGACAAGACTTTCGGACCACCCTGTATAATAAATTGTCTCGACCTCAAACTGCTCCATTCAGAACGCTGCCTTGGTCTGGAGGCTTAAAGAAAAGAAAAAAAAAGCAAGGAAGTTAATGTTATATTATTTAATCAATGTTCCTTATTTTGCTTCAGGAATAAGATGATAACACCAAACACAGACAACAAAAAATACAGATGCTTTATTACAACTACAGAGGAAATTCCAACCACCTGAAGAAAGCCGGAGCGTACAACGGCCGACCGTTGTGATAAATATGGCGACAAAGATAAGGACAATAGTCCGAATAATGTAAATAGTGTACAGACGAAATACAGTTAAAAATTATAAATTATTTTATGGATATTTTTTCTGCCTAATGTTTGATAACTTCTCCACATCAGGTGAAATATTTGTTGATGTCAGAAGCAAAACATCATCCAAGTGGTTAATATGCTATTATGCAGATTCTACATAATAGCATATTGAGCCGTAGTTTCGTAGGAAGAACAGTTGTCAAAAATAAGGTTATCAGAACATGGTAAAGATTCGGGTCGTCCATGTAAAAGAAGCTATTTATATTGGAATAAATTAAAGGTCAGTTCGTATCAATGCATTATGGCGAGCTGAATTCCATACACCCAAATGCGCAGGATGTGTTAATTAGTTCCGTGGAGGCTAGACGAGAATAAATATGTGCAAACTGAACACAGTGACGTGTAGGTCATATATTAGCAACCGTGGATGAACAGATCACAATCCCAACCTTTAAAAAGAGGGAGAATGAACAAACATACATATAAGGCAATTGTTCTACCATCGCCATAATTATAAATAAGCGATCTGGATTATTTCCATCCAGACAAATGTCTTCATTTTTGTTATTATTATAATAATGTTTCGGTCGCTGTGTTCTCAGGCCTTCATAAAGTGTCTCGCTCGATCCGTATAACCTTCAAGGAATTGAACTGTTTATTTAATCTAGAGAATTAGTTCGTTCTCATTCCTCTCTCTCTCTCTCTCTATATATATATATATATATATATGAGTTGCCACTCTGGCGGTTGGGCCAGTCGGGATGAGCCCGGACTAGTCAACATTCAAGTATATCTATTTCAAAGCAACAAAAATTTTTCGTCGTTTTCATTCTTGACTTCAGCTGTATCCAAAATTCGAAATATTGATCGAACGGAATACATTTCGTTGATATTGTTCATAATAAAGAAGAAAGAAAGAAGAAAAGAAACAAAAACAGGAAGTAAGTAAAAAAATAATTTAATAAAATTAAGCCAATCGAGTTTCGTAGGACAATCGAGTTTTAGTAACGCTATTTGAGTTGGAGAAATATTAATAGGCAATGTATAAATAATCTCTTAAAATCTCTAATGTATGACTTGGTTTTCAAAGAACACATTTTATATTATTTTTATTTCAACTTATTACTTTCAGATGTGCATTTTAAATAATTTATTCCGTACAATATAAGTTTTTTTCACACAGTGTATCAATTGAAAAAAGTCAAATTTAAGTCGGTGAAAATGAAAACATGACTGGTTCAGTGTTGAGGAAATATGATATCAGTCAGCAGTCACGATGACTTACCCAATAACGTACAATAAATTAAGCTAAAAATTCACAGACAGAGAGATACATAAACTCACTAACGTAGTGATATATATATATACAAACACATTTTCGAGATTTTTAACACACAGGTTTATTAAAAAACATATCTGGCTAGAGATTTTTTTAAATTATATATTTTAGTCACAGTTTTCTCTAACTAAAATATATAACTGGTCATGATGAGAGATTGAAAATTATGACGCATTGTTTACATACTAAAACATTTGTTTTTTTTAGTTCATATGAAGTGGGATGAAAAGAAATATATATATTTCATTTAAACCAACCGCCCACCGATTTCCTGCTCCTCCCCTTCCACCACAGCTAATGTCGTGCTCTTGTTTATTTAAAAAAAAAATAATGTAATGTTCATAATTAAAAATAAATAAATAAAGTGTTAGGAAATCAATTGCCCGAAATCGCCTGAAAATGCCGAAAGGTTGAAACCAAGGTAGCGGAATCGGCTGACTCATATATATATATATATATATATATATATATATATATATATATATATGATAAAATATAGTTGTAAGCTATATTTATAGGTGAGAGTTTTATTATCATTGAGGTCAGCACTAACATTTACGATAACTTTAACTTTTGCAGAAGAATATAAAAATCTAAATGTATAATTCACGAGAAACAATAACAGTGTCATTTTTGTTTTCGCTTCAAGCAACGCACAATAAATATTTGTTCCAACCTTTAAAACGTATCAAACAGAACGTCCATGTTGGTCTTAAACTTCCCTTTTCTCTAAATATTCCCATGGTAATTGTTCTGATATACTTTTGCCTATAATGCCTAGACTCGATGAATTTAATTGAAGTACTAGGAAGCACGGTGGAGTAATGGATAGCGGCTCGGTTTGAGGAATCGGAGAGCCGAGTTCGAATTCCAGTCGAATCCATTATATTCACTTACGTGCTAATACCCTTGGGAAAGGTATGATTCCTCTTCTTCTTTCCCTAGGTATGGGTAAATGGCAGGACGGACTGGGTTCTATAGTCTTGGCTCTATAGAAACTGTTCTATCGCAGAAAGAAATGGCAACCTACTGCGGAAAAAATCTGCCTCGTTAGTCATGTATCGAAAGGTACATGATCGCCTACGCATGGCATATAATTGACTGACTAGATGGGCTGCAAGGTCTCATCATTTTACAGTTAAAATGTTTAGATACAGCCGCAAGTTCTATGCTAACAGTTTCTGCTTTCGTACTTATCCTATTTGGAAATTTCTTGCAGTTTCTTGCCTTCTAGTTCAAAAATTTAAATACAATGTCAATCGTTATATTCTGTCTACTTAATTCCCATTCTTTTCGACTTAGACTCAGTAACCCCCTTGCGTCTCAGTGGCTTTATTACCTTGTTTGTGGTGAAATGATTAAAGAGAAGAGGAAAAACAACTTTCTAGTAAACAGTATGCTCTTCAATTTGATAAGCTCAAACGAAGTACTATTAAATGAGGAAGCAATTATGAACTTCGAAAATATTTAAAGGGAAAATGTGTATGCATGCGTATGGGAAGGAAAAACGTAAAAGATTTACAGTATTATAGGGAAAAGCAAATGGATAGGGTGTAAATAGAAAAACAAGGAGTGTGTAAATAGAAAAGCTAATAGATAGAAAAAGAAAAAGAAAGGAAAGCAAGAACTGATGAAATAGAAAAAAAAAAGGAATACATGAAAGATTAATTAGAAAAGAAGAATGTTACATCGAACAATGAAAAGAGAACTTACAAGACAGGTGAGAGGGAAAGGCAGCAAGCGTTAATAAAAGCGACATAGAGTAAACGAAACATAATGAGAAAGAGAGAGAGAGAGAAATCGAAACAATGAAAGATAAAATCGAAAAATGAGAGAGAGAGAGAGAAAGTGAAAAATGGGAAAGAGAGAAATTGGAACATAATGAGCGAGAGAGAGAGGAAGAGAAATCGATAATAAGAGTGATAGAGAGAAATCGAAACCTAATGACAGAGAGATAGAGAAATCGAAACATAATGAGAGAGAAAGAGAGAGAGAGGGAGAGAGAGAGAGAAATCGAAACAATGATAGAGAGAAAAAATCAAAGCATAATGAGATAGATATAGATATATATATATAGAGAGAGATAAAGAAATCGAAACATAATGAGAGAGAGAGAGAAAAAATCGAAGCATAATGAGAGATATAGAAATAGAGAGAGAGAGAGCGAGAGAGAAATATAATCACAATGAGAGAGAAATCGAAACATAATTAGAGAGAGAGTGAAAGAGAGAGAGAGAAAGACTGGAAAGATTTGGACAATTGTATATGAGGTCATTTGTATGGGATGTGTGGATGGTGGTTGTCATGAGTGTGTAGAAGAGATATAACTGGAAAGTGTCCTGTTTAATATTCCATGTTAAGCAGCTCAGGACGGATAAAACTTTGTCGATACTAACACGCTTACCTCAATGCGGACAACAGTAAATCACATACACACTATACGTGTATGCCAGTGTGCATGTGTGTGTGTGTGAGGGAGAGATAAGGAGAGAAGGTGACAAATTAATTTCTCAACGCGCACACAGAAGAGAGAGAGAGAGAGAGAGAGCAGTGACGGGGGTGAATGTCAAACAAGGAATAATACAATTCACACAGAAAAGCGCCTTTCTATAAAGCACTGTTTTCGAATGGTCCCGCTGACGTGGCTTAACGAGTCGGTTAAGGCACGTCAGCGTAAATGACGGTTCCGTATAGGATGCAGGTTCGAATCCTGTCAAAGGACGAATATTTTCTATGAAAATTTCTCGGACATTCAGGCCGGTAAATGTTATTTAATACTGTTTATTATAAACAGAGCATTTACTTAAATACTTGTATCTATAAAAAAGAACGTTAAACATAAAAATGTCTTTAATAAATAAATTGTCGGACTTTGTCCATTTCTTAATATATATATATATATATATATATATATATATATGTGTGTGTGTGTGTGTGTGTGTGTGTGTGTGGAGGAAAAATGTATGATTGAAAAAAAAATTTCGTGTAACGTGTTTCGTCCGTTGTTTACGTTGATGTGACGCACGAACCGGAGACGCTGGAAATTTTAATTTTGGAAAAAATATATTTTTTTAAATTTTTTTTCTAATATGAGTTTTGCGTATATAATTTAGTCAATTTATAATAGATTCGTTTTCTTTTTTTTCCAACATCTTTGTTATTGTGATAACAGAAGATCTCTCAAGAATGGTGAAACGTTGGAAGTACCTAGACGCAAATTTATTGTGGAGGAACTAACGATTAAATCAATTTTTAAGCATTTTCATCTGAGAGAATTATATTCTTTTTTTTTTTATTAGAGTCAACATAAACTCAACATAAAATTTGTCACCACTACATCTAAAACAATTAAGGACTTAATTAATGCAAAACAAAGCAAGCCAAAACTTGAAGGAGAACTTTACTCTATCACTTGGGAAGATTGTCATAAGTCTAAATAGAAGATTAATGAGCACAAAAGAGACCTTTTAAAAAACAACCCAATAGCTGCTCATCGTAACGAAACTGAACACAGTTTTGACATAAAAAAAAATGCTACTCTAGTGATGTTGCAACAAAATACCTAAAGTTCTCATATATAGACAGCTTGATAGTGGACCAAGGAATGTTGGATGGTTGTGGTCCAGGTAGAAAGACAAACTAAAGAATAACCTCTCAGCTGTCAATGTGCCTCATACTATTATAAATAATCGAGAGTGGTCTCCCCTTGTTTCGTTACCCTCATCATTGTGAGAGTTATTTATGCTTACTGGGACTATGAAAGGACACTATACGCGAACCCTGTATTCTCAATTGAATAAAGCTTCCTTAAAGCCTACACCTGCGTACTTTTGTTATTACACTAACTTCCAGTGAGCTGCCATGGGTAGAAATAACTGGAGATATTTCTGCCAGAGTGCTATCAGAAATTTTGAAGTCAGACTGGCTAAGAGTCGAAAGAACGGGAAAAAGCGTCAGCAAATCTTACTGTGGCTATGTCGCGAGATTCTAACTGTTGTACAATATGTGGAATTCTATGCAAGTCACTGGCGGGACTGAAGTGACACATACGATAAAACATATAATCTGAATGAAGTTGTTGGACCTTCATCGAAATCATCGGGAGAGTTCATTATCATTAGAGTAATAAGTGTAATACAAAAAAATCAACAGATATTATGACAAAAAGCGAATATAAAATAATTTCAAAATGCACCCATAGATATAACTAAATGCACGCATGCAAATACATCTTTATTTTTAGTATATGTGTTATTTTTTGTGGGTACACGTATTTGAGTTGCTATCTCTGCTTTTTATTTTATTAAACTGCGAAATTAATAGCAACGGCCTAATCCGATTAAGAAAGATTTTGCCCCCGAATACGTGAATTAAAATATACGCAAATACCTGCATCAATCAATAAATAAATGAAAATAAATAAAAAAAAAATAACGCCTATAGTAATAGGAAATAAAAATTCATTAAAACAATTAAGAATGCATATACTCAAAAGCAAACTTATAAACATACCTCAGCAAAAAGGTGTAGGCATGGAAGATGGTGGTTTTTTTCACTATTTTAAATCTTTAGTTTTGAAATCTCTCGAAATAGCAATAAAGATATTCACATGTTATTCTATATCACAAATGCAAATTAGAGCATGAAAGCGTCCCTGGAAATATTTATTTTATTTTTATACCTTTTGTTATGAATGATAAAGAGTGATCTCCCTTTGTTTTGTTACTCTCCTCTTTGACAGAGCTGTTTCTGTTTACTGGGACTATAAAGGACACTATACATGAGCTTTGTATTCTCAGTTGAATAAAGCTTTCTTAAAGCCAAACATGCGTACTTTTGTCATTACAACTTTATTAATGCCTTTTTCACTTTTCATTTCCGTTCTTTTGATTTATTTCTTACGGTTCCTATGTTATTTTTTTCTTATTCTTTTTATTCTTTGCTGTTCTTTCTTTCCTTAACGGTATTTTGACTACTTTTCAAACCATGTACCACCCACTTTTTTTTTAACTTTTAGTTCACCTAATACAAGCCCCAAGAGCCACTCAATGGAGAGGGTTACTGAGTGAGATTATAAAGAAGGGGGAAGTATGAGTATTATGAGGATGAGTAGGATATTTATCGGTTGATTCTGGACTTAGAAAGATTTTAATTGTCAGGGAAGCATTCTCTCGGAAGTTTGTTCCACAGAGTAACAGTTCTGAAGATGAAACTGAATGGAACTTGCTTTTTATCAATGGAACACGAACATGAACGTGACATGCTATGTCCTAGCTATGAAGGCCCAAGCTGGTAGAACTAAGTAATGTAACTCGTTCGAACATCTGTCATAGCAATAGAGATGTAGTAGAGAACGACTGGAGACGTTTCGTCTGTGGGATAAGGGTTGCAGGGTGGGGAATACAACGAAACAATAAACCGACAATTTTTCCAGCATTTTTTTTTCGATGGCACGTCTATACGCCTTCCATTTGAAGTTGGGAAGGAGATATAGTCTGAGTAGGCGTTCAAGGCAATGAGCCTTTTTTTTTTTAATAGTAAGGTTAACTTTGTACAAGGCCCCGGGTGTGGGGCACTTGCGGTAGAGGGTTACAGTAAGAAGCAGTTTATACGGATAGGAGGAGGAGTACATAACGGTTAACCCTAGACTTGAACAAGTAAAGATTTTAATGATCGGGGAAAACATCCTCTTGAGTATCTGTTCCACTAAGTTCACGGAAAGAAACTCTTCGAGTGAAACTGACTTCTGACCGATTAAATACGGAGTCAATGTGGGTTGTTTGCTACAGTGTAAGTGCAGTTTATACGGATTTTAAACGGGGAGATAACGGTTTACATTAGACATTTACAGGTTAAGATAATAGTGATCAAGAAAACATCCTCATGGGATTCGGTTCCACAGAGAAGTAGTTCGCGGGAAGAAGCTGTTCGAGTGGAACTGACTTCTTACTGATGGAATACGAAGAGAATGTGGGTGATTTGCTACAATATGGTGGAGTAATGGATAGCAGCTCGGCTTGAAGAATCGGAGAGCCGAGTCCGAATTCCATTCGAATCCATTACATTCACTTACGTGCTAATAATACCCTTGGGAAAGGTATGAATCTTCTTCTTCGCCCCCCAGCTCTGGATAAATAGTAGGACAGACTGGGTTCTATAGCCTTCGGTGGCAACTGGTCTACTACAGAAAGAAATGGCAAGGTACTGCGGGAAAAAATCTACCTCGTGAGTCATGTATCAAAAGATACATGATCCCCTTAACGTGTATCACGCATGGCACATAACTGATGGCTGATCCTAGCCGTGAAGGTAAGACCAAGTGGGGAACTTTCTATGGAAGTAACGATAGAGTAGCTAGCCTCTTGTATGTTTAATTTCTTTTTTAGCTTATTCTTTCCCAAATTTTGCTCTCGCCATTTTCTTTCTGTCTATTATAGTTTTTAAAAATTTATTTTCGTTTACCTTCTTTTCTTTCAGCCATTTTGCTTTTCGTTTCACCTCTTTTTCTTTTTCATCTTGCAATGCTTCGATCATTGTTTCCACTTTATACTCCCAAATTTCGATATTTCCCTTTCATTTTTCAGATACCCAATGTTAATATCCTTCCGTACATGCATTGTTTATTCTCTTCTACTCTTTCTTTTGCTATATCGCTAGTTCCCCTTCTCCCTGGCTCTCATTTTTTCTCTTTTAACCCCCCTCACTTCTTTTCAATTACTGCTGAACATCTTCCCACTCCTAACACGAGATGAGTCACAGCCAAGTAATGTAGCCAAATAAACCTGCCGGAGCGTAAGCAGATAGATAGATAGATAGATAGATAGATAGATAGATAGATAGATAGATAGATACGGGAAACTCAAAGAAACAAGAAATAAATAAATAAAAGTGTTGTTGTTTAGAATTAGAATTGAGTGGTTCCAATGGAAAAGTTAATGTATGCAGTTGATTTTGGGAGCGTATAAAATAAATTGGAAGAGAAACAATAGTGAAGTGTTTAGAGAAAAAAGCAGAGCCCGAGATAAAGATAGATAGATAGATAGATAGATAGTGGAGAGGGAGAGAATGAGAGTAAAAGTAAGAGGAAGCGAAATCAAAAAGATTGACGAAGATAGTGGTGGTGGTGGTGATGATGATGATGATGATGATGATGATGATGATGATGATGTGTAAAAGAAAGTGTATAGAAGGTGGGTATGCAAAAAAAGGAAAATAAAAGCAAAAGATGAATGTCGAGAGAGAAAGAGGGGGATGGAGAAATAGGAGGAAGAGATAAAGAGTGGGAGAGAGATATATAAAAAAGGAGAATAGGATTAATAGAAGTAATGAGAGAGAGAGAGAGAGAGAGAGAGAGAGAGAGAAAGAGAGGAAGAGAGAGGAAAGGAGATTTTGGGAGGGGTGAAAGAGGTAAGATGGAGAAAGAGAGGAGAGAGAGAGAAAAATTGGGAGGTATAAACAGAGGGCTGAAGAAAGAAAGGGATGTAGAAAGAGGGGGAGATAGATAAAGAGGGTGAGAATATAAAGGGAGGGGGAGATAGATAAAGAGATGGGGATAAAGAGAGGGATTCATAGAAAGGTGAAGAGAGAGGGTGGGAAGGGAGAGGGAAGGAGATTGTAGGAGGCAGTGAAAGATGGATGGAGAAAGAGAAAGGAAAGAGAGAATAGAATAAAATCATTTAAAAATAAAGCTATTGGAATTAAATGGTCAATATAAGAGAATAATGAAGAGTTGTGTCGAGAATTTACAGTCTCTAATAGATAAAGAAGAGTGTGTAAACTGCTCTCACGAGTGGTTTACACACTCTGATACTTACTGGACACAGGGATCCGTCCCTGCGCTGGTAGTATCACGGCTATGACTAGCTTGGACCAGCTATGACCAGCCATAACCAGCTAAGACGAGCTATGACTAGCTTAGACCAGCTTTGACCAGCTTGAACAGGCTATGACCAGCTAAGACCAGCGGCCCGAGTGAAGACACTCAAGTTCCTTGGTTAAAAAGTGACCTTGTGTCGCAACCTGACTCAGTGGGGGGGGGTGGTAAATCAACTCCAATAGAGAAAGAAACAATGAGAAACAAAAACGAAGTGGACGTTGCGTAGTTGCAAGAGTGAATAAGGTAGATGAATGTGAAGAAAAAAAAATGAAAAAGAACAAAACAGAGAAAGGAAGGAATATTAAAACAGAAAAAAATTTGTGAAGCAACATGGTGCGTATGAGAGACAGTGGAAGAAAGAGAATAGAAATGAGAAAGAGATGGAAATGAAGGATTCAGTTAAATTATGATTCTCTACAATTTTCCATCCTTTTTATATGTAAGTAATAATTGCTAATCATTCTTCTGCTATACTTAGTTAGTTAGGCTACTCACTGTTTCCCTATTGCCTGTGAGTGTCAAATTCTCCAAGTCCTCTTTCCTCATCATGTATCTACGATATTTCAATTGTCTCTCTATGATTCTAAGTACAACAGTACTTTTTGCTTCTTTTATGTTAAAAATTAATTGCTGTTCAAATGTTCAGTCCATTGTATTTTGAACATCCTACTGTAGAACCACATCTGTTGCCTCAAGCCTACTATTCATCTCTAAGAAAACTATTCAACATTCATTGCGATGCAAGATGATTTATATTAGATAACACCTACGCAATCTTAGTTTATAACGACGTCTTCCGATTTGTTAACACTTTGTTTAGCTTTTTGAAAGCACCTTTCGCGTTCCAATGGGCCTTCAGATTACTGCGCCACATTTTCCGTCCCTTCTTAAAAGATATTTAGATTTCTATACTTGCTTAATGTTGACTTATTCCTAACACGCATCTCTGTCTACCCCTTTTGCTCGATAAGGGATGGTTAGTACTTCTTTTCCCGTTTCTCTTTACTTCCTTGTCTAAGAGTTCCTGCAATTTATTAAGATGTATCTGCCAGGAATATTGTGCCATCCACCTATAATGTGTTGTTAAGATTGTGTCCATCAATAATAAATCCTAGTAGGACTTCATGTTCTCTTATGATCATTTCATTGTAAAGGTTAAATAAATCCGGAGAGAAGACGCGGCCTTTTGACTTATGCCTCTAGAAAACTTATAATGAGTTGTAGGTACCACCATTGTTAAAAAAGAAACTAATGCATATATAGCAATAGTTACAAAGATCATGTGAAGAATTGAAAAGATGCAGAAAACGCGAATCAATAATTAAAAAGAAAATTACAGGGTGCGATGGATAAAATTGATGTCTAAATTAAGCAAATGATGAAAATAACACTGACATCTCTTTTAACAGACATATTTACCAGAATTATACAAAAATATCGCGAAATACCAAAGAGTAAATTTATTCAATAAAATCGCCATTGGCTTCAACCACGGCCTCCAGGCTACTATACAATCTCTTCCGCATCTTTTCTCGACGGTCTCCTTGTTTAAGCTGGTGAATGCTGCCATAAGTTCTTCTATGTGGTGTTGCAAAGAGTTTTGTTGATCTCCCGCTCAACTGGGCCCCACCCATAACAATTAAGGGGTTGCAGTCTGGGGAGTTAGTTGGACAAATGAAAAGGGTGATGTGGTCGCAGAAATTATCTTATAGCCATGACTGTGTTCTCCTACCTCTGTGGCATGATGCAGAGTTCTGTTGCCAGATATAGGATGTTTCAGTAGCCACCCTCTTGACCCAAGGCAGCGTTGCCTTCTCAAGACACTTGATGTAGGCCTCCGTGTTGAGTCTGAGTGACTCACCAACAAATTCGGGACTTATTTTCTTATCAGAAAAACCAGAATGAGTTTCCCGAGCTGCCTTGCCTTCGTAATCACCATTAGACTCATCCAACACTTTCCAAATCCTCTACACTCTCCTCAGATTGTCACCCAGACACTCTGAAATGTTCGTATTGGATATTTCATCGCGAATGTCAAGCAGTACACCATGCCGTTTCCAAATTTTTGGTGGGGTTAATTTCGGTATTGTGATCTTTTTCTTACAGATGTTGTCCAACTGACCCTACTATACTGAGCAGTCGACAAAATAAAATCAAACATCGCGTGTGCGAAATTAAAACTATAAAATGGCGACAATTTACCCATTGCACCCTGTAGATAGCTAGTAATGACGATGGCGTGTATAAAGGAAGTGTAGAGGAAAGGTATGGAAAAAAAAGACAATGAAAGTAAAGGTAAATGTCGAGAGAGGAAAGGAGGATATAGGGAGAGGGGTGGGGATAGAGGAGAGTGAGAGAATAGAGAGAGTTTGTGTGAGAGGAAATTAATTAAAAATGAAGCTATTGGAATGAAACGTAATCTAATGCATATTTCACAAGGCGGCACGGACACAAACACTTTTAATAATCCCTTGTTTTATGCACACATAACAGACACGGAAAAGTACATATGTATATATAAGTGCATATGTTCCGACATGAAAATATATCAGCGTATAGTTAGGGTCATCAATAAATTCGTAATCTCTTGACGAAAACGCATTTATTTTACATAATTATATTTCAACGTAAATGTCTTCTTTCTCAATGTACATAATTTAGTGGCTATTATTAATCCTATGAATTAAAAAAATATAAATCAAAATTCATCTAATAACTACGTGTCACTCTACGAACATATTGATCCATCGCTATATGTATATATATATATATATATATATATATATATATATATATATATACATATATATATATATATATATGTGTGTGTGTGTGTGTGTGTGTGTGTGTGTGTGTGTGTGTGTAAAATATATAGAAAATAGGAAAGAACTCGTTAGGTAAATAATCCAAAGTTCTTTAGTATTTTTCTTATTATTTGCTCGATACAAAAGTGGAGACTAAATATAATTATTTATTTAAAAATATGATTCCATCGTTACATAAGAGTTCTCATGTTTCAATTTCGCTTGAAGATGGAACAGAGCTTGGTACTTAATGATGGGATCATATTTTTAAATAAATAATTATATATATATATATATATATATATATATATATATATAGATAGATAGATAGATAATAATATTAGTGGAAAATATACATACATATGAAAAATATATCTAAAAATTCCCATACATGTATATTTTCAGAAAAAAATTTTCCAAGAGGAAGGATCCAGGTTTATAATATATATATATATATATATATATATATATATATATATATATTATAATTTTATCATATAGACAAAACCATTTTACTCACTACAAAGATGCAACTTGGTTTCAGTGCATTTCAACTGCACTTCGTCTATATGATAAAATTATAATAAATAAATAATTATCGCTCTTCTATCGGTATCGAGCCCTCTTTTGGATTAATGCTGTGAACATTGGAATTTATATATTACTTTCATTTTCATCGCATCAGACACACACACACATATATATGTGTGTATGTCATTCATTTATAACGAAAATGTATTCGAGGGGGATTGCTACCTAAATAAACAATTGACTCGGCCTGATTTTAATCTCTGAATACATATCCATGTGTCACTGTGCAGGATGTTGGCGATCATTGACCTCCACAAATTCCTGTTTTGTAGCTCTTAATAACTTTTGTCTTTTTGTCATCTGTCATAAACCCCGCACCGCCTTTTAATCTTTCAAGCTCACCAAAGTCGGTTGTGCGTTGCTTTCCTCTGCTTCTCTTACATTTAATCTGTTCTGTGAAAATCAAATTTTCGAAGCCCTACTTCCTCATTATGTGCCCCAGATAATTTCTCTTCCTGGTGTTAAATATGTGCACTTTTAGTTGCCATTGTCTCAAAGACTCCGATCTTGCATACATATTCGGCTTATGGCATCCTGAGTATCCTTCTGTAGAAACATTTATGTTGCTTCAAGTCTCTTCTTCATCGTGGGGGGAGACTGTTCAGTATTCACTGACATAGAGGAGGACTGATAGCACGTAACAGTTAAGCACCATTTTATTTGTTTCTAATGAATTAAATAAATCCACTGAGAAAACTAACCTATTGTCTTACGCGTTTTTCTATATTTGAGTAGACACTGAATTCGTGCACTAGTTTATATATATATATATATATATATATATATATATATATAAATATATATATATATATATATATATATATATATATATATATAAAAGTGAACATAGAAGTCAACACTTAGAGGCGACAGTCTGTTTCATACTATATGCAATCGTCAGGCCACATATGCTGTTATTTTTCTCGGCTATTTATATATATACGGGTTAGTGGTGCATTGTGGGTATTCTATTATGGCGGTTATTTTACCGGAAGTCGTTTGTTTATTTATTTGGGTCAAATTATATTGCTCGCTTTTATTTTTGTTTCTTATTTTATTTATTTATTTATTAACGTAGTAAAAATTTGTTTATATCACGTATTTAACAGTTTTGTTTTGGTTTGAGAATTTAATTAAAGCTATTTGTTCAATTTTGGGGTTGGTTGTTGTAGTTCATTCATATATAAATAGCCGAGAAAAATAACAGCATATGTGGCCTGACGATTGCATATAGCCTGAAACAGACTGTCGCCTATAAGTGTTGACTTCTATGTTCACTTTTATATTTACACACGCTCTATCTCTGATATTGAGCACTTTATTCCATAAATATAGCACACCTTAAGACTATATTTCTTTATATATATATATATATATATATATATATATGTATGTATATATATATATATATATATATATATATATATATATATATATATATATATATATATATATTGTGTGTGTGTGTGTGTGTGTTTTGTGTAAAGTAAACAGACAACACCAATAGTAATTTCTTATTTACGTGCAGGAACTAAAACTTGAAGACTGTGACCACAAAATGGAATATGCAGATTTAATGCTAGGCTGGCATGAAGATTTCCTGAATTGTTTCAAAACAGCCTCTGGAGGAACAAGGCTGTATTCTATGTTGGTAGTTTCATCAATCGTCACAAGTGCTATTTATCGGCATCGATTAGAACATAAGGGTAACAGGATGCAAGCTCAACCAAAAGTGACCGTGTTGTGCGGAATGACGACAACAAGAGCCGACGGCCCATAACTTACGTGTGACACCATGAATACGGACCGCTGTCTTCAGATGCTCTAAAATTACGTGTGGCCCATGGTGTTTGGCTTGGATATCATTAGGGACCTGATATTCATGCAGGATGGTGCACCACCTCATTTTGCTTTTAATGTACGAGTGAAGTTCGATC